AAATTATTAACGATATTTGTAGCCGTAGGCTACAGGTTTATTATGTTTTATGTAAAATTCACATTAAAGAAGACATTTCGCAGTTTCATTCATGTTGAAAACACGAACCGTGCCATAATTTAGTGGAAGATTGCTGCCATGACATCAACTCCCAAACAAACACTTTTGCTAGTGCTCAATGAATAGTTTGTGCATGAATGACATTTGGACGATGACATCACTGTTTTATCCAGAGCGGCTATATATAAATTAGATAAATTAATATTTTTTTTACAACAAAATAAACCATCACTGACCAACATACTTAAGCTTGATTATGACACTATTTTCTTCTAGATCTGCTGTACAGGAGAAGCAAACTTTGTTGCATTATTTTCCTGTTATCACTGTAAAGCTGCCTTGAAATAATCTGTATTGTAGGCTAAAAAGCACTATGTAAAAAAAAAAAAGGGGACTTGACTTGAATGCTAGGTGTAATGCTCTTGCTATATATATATATATATATATATATATATATATATATATATGACTAAATAATCACCAACACAATGATGGGGTGAAATGGGCTGTAATGCATGGGGCACCAGGTAAAATCTTGCCTAAGGCAGCAAATTGGTCAGGGCCGGCCCTGGTTTTATACCTGTAAATGTCTGTGTTGTAGATGATGAACTTCATTCGCAAGCTGTGCGCCACGTTCATGGTGCCTACAGCGCTGCAGGAAGACAAACAATTCTTGCTTTTTAAAGAAAAGGCAAACCATTTGCCAGGTCAGTGTTTGATCATTAACTATCATTATTTTTAATTCTTCTAATTTTACAAGTGATGAGATCAGACTACAGGGGAACCCCATGTCATGCTTTGCCTTGTACCTAGCCTTAGCCTGGTAAAGTTGTCCTAGTTTTTTGGGCTAACCAGAAGCTCAGTGTTAAAGGATCCATCCATTGATCCACATCTTCCATTAACACTGACTTTCTGGTTAGCCTAAAAACATTGGACTTCATGCCTAGTGTCATGCTGTTGTATGATCAGCATGACACAGCATTTCTGTTAACATGATTTGTTGTATCGGTGACAGGAAGAAAGCTGAATATTGGATTCACCACCAGGGTGAAGCTCAACAAGCTACTGGATGATGGAGACATCACGCCAGAGCAGATGGAGCAATTCCATGAAGCTGCCATGGCGTTTCTGACCAATGCTGTGGACTTTGCTCTAAAAAAGCTGCCCCTACAAGAGCCACTGCTCAAGCACGCAAAGTTTGTTGATTTTCGGCAGAGGTTGGAATGCGGTATAGAAGATGCCCTTTACTTTGTTGAGAGGCTAGGTTATTTTTTCAGGAATTTATGCTTGTTATCTGACATTAAATACCCTGAATTTAATACAAAGACATTAACACCAGAATTTCGACTCTAAGCACATGAGCCATTCCTAAGTGGCTACTTTTTAAAAAAAAGATCTTATTTGCTCCTTTTGGTTGATGACCATATATATATATATATATATATATATATATATATATATTAGGGGTGGAACGGTACACAGAAGTCACGGTTCGGTTCATACCTCGGTTCAGACATCACGGTTCGGTACGATTTCGGTACAATGGAGTGAAAAGCAAAACAAAAATGCAGAAGGCATTGTATTTTTTAAATAAGTTTTATTAATAAAGGCATAGAACCAGTTTATTTGTAGTGCACTGACAATTGTTTTATATAATTAGTTTATTAATTAAATTAATAAAAAGACAAAAAGACCTTGCGATATGTTTGGTAATTGTACCTGAATTAATTTAAAATTATTTTGCTATATTTCAGATCAATATATTTGTTTCCTTAATTTAAATTAACATTATTAATTGACAATGTAACATTATTCTCATCTGAATTATAAATAATTGATTTCTGTATAAAATAATACCATTACACATTCGGATTTTCTTTTTTTAATCAATGTTGAATGTGTAAGATTAGTGCTCCGAGGACAAGAAATGAAAACCAATGCAATATGTCGAATGTCCAAAAGATGGGACCAACAGACTGTTTTGAAATGGAGTTGGATAAATATGTTTTGCTTTTAAAACAGTGTGTCAGTGTGTGTGTGTGTGTGTGTGTGTGTGTGTGTGATTTTGGTTGGGTGACAGTTGTAGGTTACAGTTTGACAAGAGTTTACAGTGTGACAAAAGCACAATGTTGTGTTTTGTTGCGAGTGTACACAAATATAAGTAAACACTTTGCAGGTTTAATGATCTGTATGAACAAAATGACGGAGTATGTTTTTTATGTTTCCACTGTTCGATCGCGCGCCTCTCTCTCTCTCTCTCTCTCTCTCACACACACACACACACACACAGGTCGATCACGCCCGCGCGCCTCTCTCTCTCGCTCTCTCTCTCACACACACACACACACACACACACTCCAGCATTGCAATCTTGACATCGCAGCCTGTCCATTATGCGGTCACGGTCACACCAAACGCGAATAGAGCGTCAAATTCGCGCCTAGTTCGACGCTAGTCCAAAGCGAATAGGACGCGCGTATAAAGCCAACGTTTGAAGTGAACGCGCGTTCAGAGCTAAGCCGATGGTACAGATTATGTGTCCCTAAAGAACCCGCGTATCTAACAGTAGTTCCGCATTACAGTTTTATTTATTTTTATACCGTGTATTCTCCGTGTAAATTCGTGCACCGAACCGTGACGCCCGTACCGTTTCGGTTCGATACGAATACATGTACCGTTCCACCCCTAATATATATATATATATATATATATATATAAACCGCTTTCTTAAATTAGGTTTCCCAACCTGCTCCCCTACCATGGGCCTCAGGAGTATAACCAACTCAGTGACGAGTTCCTGGAATACCAGACTACACCAATACCACACCTGCAGGTCCCAGAGGAAATTGAGATGGAGAGCTTCTGGGCTGAAATGGCTAGCCTAAAACATAAGGCAAGAATTATTCTTTACCAAGAACACAGTGGAAATAGTTTTTTTTTAAGGTTTTTTTTAAGTATGCTGTAGGTTGATATCAATCAATTTGTTCTATTTAGATAAAATCATGCCTCTATAGTGCTTTAAAATTATGTGTGTGTGTCTATAGGATATACTGTATATACAAAGGATCATATAGATGCATGCATTTTGTCTTAATAGACAGAATAAATTATGTATCAACCTATCCTTATCTATCAACGGCAAAAAGAAATAAAACAAAACAAAAACAACACTACTTGAGAGCTTATTTCCACTGTGTTCTTGGCTCATTCTTCACAGGTGACAGGTGTAGGCCTGTTCCCGAGGCTTGCCACCATAGCAAAGATGGTCACATTCAAATGCTGATGCGGAGAGAGTGTTTTCTGTGGTGGGACTCAACAAGACAAAGACCAGGGGTGTATTCCAGAAAGCAGGTTATGTGACTTACCCTGGTAAGTTTAGGAGTAAGTAAGCGGATAACCTCTGCTTTCGGTTCCAAAAACGGAGGTAACTTTCGGGTTATGTAAGTAACCATAGCAACTGACTCTCTGAGGATAACCTGCTCCGGAGTAGGTTATGTTGCAGGGTTAGTTTGTTTTAGAGAGGTTTCCGAGCATGGCGTGCCCTTTTGATGAGGATCCTGTGGACGTAGAGCCACAGATTATACGAGGGTTTTTCCGCCGTGAGAGGGTGATAAGACCACGTATCGATGTATTTTCTTATCCTAACGAATATTTGCAGGAGTGCTATCGTTTTTCTAGGGAGTCGTTAATTTATTTAACAAACCTACTAAAACCACACATCTCAAATGTGACAAACCGCGGGTCAGCGCTTAGCGCCGAACAAATTCTTTGTATTGCTCTGCGCTTTTTCGCTACGGGGAGTTTTCTCTACAATGTGGGCGATGCAGAGCATGTGGGAAAGGCAACAGTGTGTAGAGCCGTTCGTACAGTATGCATGGCACTGAAACGGTTTCTACACACTTTTGTACAGTTCCCTGGCCATAAACCTGTGCGCTTTATTAAAGAAGAATTCTACAGGGTTGCAGGTTTGCTCTCAGAAATTCTGTCATCTACTTCAATTAAATTACATTTCTTAATAGGTTTATTTTGACTGCACACACATAAAGGCTACACAGACTTCCTAAATTTGTAATTAATCTTAATTTCAGGGTTCCCAAACGTGATTGGGTGCATTGATGGCACCCACATTCCTATTAAAGCTCCATCTATCAATGAGGGAGACTATGTTAATAGGAAGTCTGTGCATAGCATCAACGTGCAGGTAGCTATATTTTGGCTCCTTAATATTGGTGTTACAAATAGGCCTAATAAACTTATTGTTCTCCACAGGTAATATGTGATGCAACCCACCTCATCACTAATGTTGAGGAAAAATGGCCTGGGTCTGTACATGACGCCCGAATATTTAGAGAGTCATCTCTGTGCAACAAATTTCAACAGGGTACGTTTTGTTAGACAAATGCTTGTAGTCTTTATTACATTTACAAAACACCTCAAACATTACAGGACACTTCTATGGTTACTTGCTGGGGGACAGAGGATACCCTTGCCTCCCCTATATGATGACACCCTACCCTGATCCTGAGCCCGGACCACAGACACGCTTCAACCGGTCTCACAGCAGAACACGGGCCAAGGTGGAGATGACAATAGGCATTCTGAAGGCGAGGTTTCAGTGTCTGCGTGGGCTCAGGGTCACTCCAAATAGGGCATGTGACATCACAGTTGCTGGTGTGGTACTTCACAACATTGCCACAATAAGAGGAGAGAGGCATCCCCCTGTCCTGATGAAGATGACCTAGAACAACACCCAATGAATCTGGCAGACCACAGAGATGGCAGAAGGCTTAGAGACATGATTTGTCATAAATCCCTTTATTTAATGTGTTCTATTTCTTTATGTCCTGAAATAAAAGAGACATGACAGATTTGTATTTATTGCTTTATACACACACAAAAAGAAATAACAGATTCATGTTCACATATGATTCTCACCTTAAGGCGATGCTCCAGTAGTTCTATTTCAAGTTTGTCCTTTTTAATGGCCAGCCTTTTCTCCTCTAGCTGAAGCTGTATAAGGTCCATTTCCATGTCAGTTTTTTTAATTTGCCTTAATAGATGGACCTTATACAGCTCCTTTGCAGACAACTAGGAAGGCAAAGTAAATAAGATGGTTAAAGAAGAAAATCTGCCACATAGTAACATTATGTAAATAAGGACAAAAAGGGACAAGTTCTTACACTGCTAAGATTATGTGTAGAGGTAGATGGACCATCATCTGCATGTACATCCCCAGCTAGATTCTGTCACAGGACAAATTACACATTTTTCACTCCATCTAAAAAGCTATGCATTGTCCAGTATATGCATCATACCTCTGTGGGTCTCCCAGCACTTTCTAATTCTGTCACAGCAGATGTGGTCTCTTCATCATCATCATCATCATCCTAGAGTGGAAATATGCAAGGTTACTTTGTCTGGCAGACAAAGTGAAAGATCTAAAAGCAACTGGTTCTTAAAATGCATCACTAACAATTGTGACAGACTGTGTGGTTTCAGGAGGATCCAATAATACAATGCGTCCATCAGCAACTGCAAGAAAAAAAAGATACTCAATGTGTAAATTACTTAAGTATGACAGACACTGAATAAAGGCATTAGGAACATGCAAGAATAAAAAAACAGATTACTGTATACAGCATATGCTGTGAAATAGAATATGTATGCACAATGCACAAGTGAAACAATGACTGCATTTGGGAAGCATTTAGCCTTCTTCCTAATGACAAGAGTTAATGATCGTTTTGTCCAAACGTATGCTAAATAATCATAAGTACTAATATGGTATACCTACATTGTACCAAGTCACTTGAGTTGTTGTGGGAGGTAGCTAAGTCTGACGAAGTTCCCTCTGGAATACCATCAACCACAGGGCGACCTTTATTAGGTGAGAGAGCCAACTCCTCAGATGGGGTGAGAGGAGGTGGAGGTGGACCCCCGCCAGTTAGACGAGCCTCAGCCTTCTTTCTATTAGCTATATAGGAAGAATACTGTAAAAGTAACTTAAGACATTGATCTTACAACAGTTAAAATAAAATATTACCTTTTTGGAGAATGTTTTTGTGTTTCATTTTGACTTGGGAAAGAGTTCTTTTGGCTCCAGAAGGATTACACCTTATAAAACAAGAGGCCTAAATATTTCTTGTCAATATACATTGCACTGTATTCTTAAGAAACTGATGTAGAGAAAAGTAAATGCTTGTCGAGTCATGCCACATGCTCAAAAAGACAATTGTTCAACTTTGCAAATTAACAAAAGAAAGGCAAGCATATCTAAAATGTAATTAAAAAAAACGTACGCATTTACTCTGTCAGTTATTTTTTGCCAAGCCAATTGTCTTTCCCTCGCATATGCAGCTGTTTTGCTTTTTTTCATTATAATGGGCTTGAACTCCTCATAAGCCAACATTAAAACTTCTAACTCTGCTTCGGAGAAGTAGGCGGCACGCAACTTTTCACCCTTAGTTTCCATGGTGACTCCTGAATTCGGCGTTCCATTGAAAATGCCTTTATATGTTCGCCGTGCACGCGCATTAACTCGATGTTATTAGCAGTAGGTTGATTAAACTAACTCGACACAGGTGTTTTGGAACCGACATACTCCGAGTAAGCAGGTTATGGGTTACTCAACCCAGAGTTCAGGGTTAATCTGATGGTAAATTAACCCAGCTTTCTGGAATACACCCCAGGAACAGCCTTGCCCTGGATGGCACCCTGTCATCAATAATGACAATAAAAATGGCTGGCTTGGAGCCCTGCTTGGAGCCCCATCCCCCCCCCCCCCCCTCCCCTCCCCCTCCCCCACCCCCACCCCCACCCCCACTGCATTTTCGTTTAAAAACGGAGCATTAAAACGAATACGATCTCCGTCCACACCAGCGTTTTATCTGCGTATTAGAATTGATCTCCGTCCACATTAAAACGTCTGAAAACGCGGATCACTTGACCATTCACCAACACTGGGCATGCGGTGTAAACAGGAAACGGATTGACATGTGATGGGTGGCTGACGAATCAGGGAAGGATACGTCATGACTGATGACACCCAATCATAGAGCCGAGCGTGAGCCTCTGCGTCATCGTTTCTAAAGTCCTCCGTTTTGTCCCGTCTTCACTAAAACGCCCCCGGAGATTCAAAACGCAAAACAGAGCTGCAGCGTTTCTAAACTTCTCCGTTTTAGGTCTTCATTTTTTCCGTTTTAGTCTGGACGGGAGGTGCAAACGTAGCAAAAGGTCTCCGTTTCTAAACGAAAACGCAGTAGTGTGGATGGGGCATAAGAAGGCCACAATTCAGTACAACTAGGCACACAGATCTTAAATACAATGTTCACACAGTGGTTAAACTTATTGTTTTTAAGTTGTTATTAGCTGCATGTAGTTTTGTGAATGTTAAAATTACATGACCTTTATTCCAAAGTAAACATGCACAAAAGGAGCCATGCTGTGTCTTTTGTTTTGCTGGTAGTATTTTTCTGCTGGACCTTGTGGTGGGGAAAGGCCTTGATTGAAGAATGAATTTCCCTCACTGCCTAATCTAATGAGGTCTTTGGCCACCAGTCCCCCTGGTGTCCATAAATGGTTATTTCTATTTATTTAGTTATGAAGGATTATAATTTATGTAAATCAGTGGTTCTCATTCTTTAGAATTTCAGTGGTCCTAGTAGGTCTCTTTGGTAGACCAATGTTAATTTAATTTAATTTTTTATTATCATTTATTATATTTTTGCTGTACGGTAATGATGCTGAATGAACCAAACAAATTGCTTTGTACGCGTCAAAATTTTGGTTGGCCCCACCAAATCTCACTCCAAGGTTTTTTTGAAAAGTTGGCAGCCCTGTTATTACAAGCTTAACACTTTGAATCAAGCTACGGCAAGCAGAGAGTTTTGAACTCTGGCTAGTTATGTATTTGCTCAAAAATTTATTTTGGATCATTTTTAACCCAAAAAAGCTACGGACTGCAGCTTTAAACTTCTCTGTCTGTATAAGTCAAGTATACTTAAGTGCAATTTTATATTTTGGTAATGGACCAAACAAGGCTTTAACCTCCATTTTTTAACAGACACGCATTTATTTGAGCACTTCCATCAGTGAAACACCACATTGTAATATATATCAATAAATATTGGTAACCTACATAATATAAGACAGTTACATATTATTTAAAAAATATATTGATTTAAATTTTCCAACAAAGATGCGTCATATAGCCTACCGCTCTGCGCTTTGAGAGGGACACGAGTAGGAAAGAGACAGTCATTCTCTTTTCTAATTTCTTCTTTTTTTTTTTAGGGCCGGGACTCGATTAAAAAAATTTATCTAATTAATTAGAGGCTTTGTAATTAATTAATCGAAATTAATCGCATTTTAATCGCATAAATATTTGACCTGAGAACTGTGAGAAGTAATTTTTTTCACATGGATTTTTAGTATACCATTGAATAATGACTGCATACATAAGCTTAAGCAACAAAATATTGTTTATTTTTGTTCAACCAAGTCCAGCAGACCAGTGCAATTTTTGCCATTAAGTGTAGCAATTGCATATTGCAACAAAATAGCATATTGCTACTCTACACTAATAGCACTACACTAATAGCCATAATAGCCATTAAGTGTAGCAATAGCATATTGCAACAAAATAGCATATTGCTACACTACACTAATAGCAATAGCGAATTCCTTGTTGCATAGCTTGCACACAACTTTGCTCTTATCTACGCGTCCATCCGTTCGTTTTTTGTAACAACATTTCCCAGCCACCGGCCAACCAAAGCGATCTCGTCAGCTTCTTCGTCATGAACGCTAGTTGGTGCGCCAGTATAATCGGTCCGCCGAAACTCATCCAGTGAGAAACGTTCCGCGGTGCAAAAATAAGTGCGATTAAAAATAATTTTTTGTGTAATTAATTAGAAGATAAAATTCGCTCTTCAGAAATTTTAAAACAAGTGCCAGTTGAACATCAGAAAAAAAACTAGGGCCGGGACTTTAACGCGTTAATTAAGATTAATTAATTACACACTTTAACGCGTTAAAGTCCCGGCCCTAGTTTTTTTCTGATGTTCAACTGGCACTTGTTTTAAAATTTCTGAAGAGCGAATTTTATCTTCCGCAGTGTCAATACATTTAGGCTATGTTTGATTTTGTCCTGCCAGAGAAAGCGAAACTAAAATCCCAAGCATGTGTGAAATGCACTATACAAATAAACTTGACGCGCTTTACCATAATAACAAGCACAAACTATGTTAAATAGAATTTGATGTGCAAGCAAAAAGGTATCAGGCCTATTATATTCACATTTTTACTGTGTTAAAAGTGGAAAAATGCTGTAGGACAAATTAAAAGCGAACCAAATGAAGAAACGTTTATAATCCCCTGCGAAAATGGGCGAGACGTGAGTGAAGATTTGGGAAAAGAAACAAGATATTCCATGTTCAATGGATTAGTTCTCTTTTAAAAAAACTTTTGTTGATAATTTATTCACCCCCATGTCATCCAAGATGTCCATGTCTTTCTTTCTTCAGTCGAAAAGAAATTAAGGTTTTTTATGAAAACATTCCAGGATTTTTCTCCATACAATGGACTTCAATGGGCCCCAAACGGTTCAACGTTCAATGAACGGCTCTGTTCTGTGATGCGTGTTGGTGACGTCACGTAATACGCAATTACGTTGAAAAGGTCTCACAGAACAGAGTAAGGTAAGCATTTGTGCTTATAAAACTTAAACTTTTTTAAATGACCGATCGTTTCGCTAGATAAGACCCTTATTCATCGTCTGGTATCGCAGCCTGTTCTCACGTAAATGCGTCTTTATAGCACGCATTGTGTGCATACATTGGACTAAAAGATGTTCCACAATCAACACCTCTGAAGGCAATGAAAAGTGGTGCTGAAACATGCACTGGACAAGAAGATAAATCACACAAGCATTTGCTGTTACTACTAACAAGTCCACAGTTGTCTAAAAAACATACATATCTCTCCACATCTGGGACATATTATGCTATTCCTGCTGTAAGGAGCCAGCTTGTAAGTATTATCCTTGTTCTTAATTGTACATGTCAGCATAAAAATGGTTACATGTACTGGTATAACACTAACAACTGTAAATCGAATACAATTGTTTGTAATGTTAAATTTTATGAATTGTTTTCAAACGTATCTACACAAACTGTTAAAAATAATTCCTTTTGTCTGGTAGGATGAACCAATTGCTATAGAGAGCGAACCTGATGACCTAAATATCAGCATGCTTTCATTAGATCCACCATCTGAAAAGAAGGATGTTAGTTTTGTTCCACACAGTTCCACATCTGCCTTAAGTACAACCACTACGACAGATGAAGAGGAGGAACAGACATGGCAAGAACGGAAATGGATTGTTAATGAATCAGCTTTGATGAAACAATTTAGAAGATGTCAAGACTGTGGTGCACTGATCTCTGGGAAAAATATCACATCTGTAGGGAGCCTAATCAGCATTATTTGGCAATGTGAACAAGGACATAAGGGGCACTGGAGATCTTGTTCTGATGTGCGTGGAATGCCATCAAACAACCTTCTAGTTAAAGCAAGTACTGTGTTTACGGGGTCCACATATGCAGACATCTCTGAATGGGCTGCTGTGTTTAACCTTCAGGTACCACACAAAACTACTTTTAATGCAATACAGTCTTTATACCTCATACCTGCAATTGATGAGGCATTCAAAGAACAACAGAGTACCATACTAGATACTTTGAAATCAGGAAGCACAGAAAGAAAGGAAATTCATTTATCAGGAGATGGGAGATCAGACAGGTTGTTTTAAATTTTAGTGATCATTTTTTTATGTGATGTAATGTCATTTTTTTTAGTTACAAT